GTAAGGTATAGACTGCTTTTAATTTTGTAGGACTTGGAGGGACAAAAGCTTGCGGAGCGTATTATGCATATTATATTGCAATTTAGTTGTGTATGAACTTTTTTTCTTATTATGAGTTAGATCTTTGGTTTTTGTCTTGGGTATTATATGGAGCAACTTTCAATAAGTGTTGGAATAGTGTTGGCTGGCCTCGTACTTTGCATTATCGTAAGAGCTTTGCAGGTATATATTTAAACTTTAGCTTGTACTGCCACCTTGGCCGATATACAGGAAACATCCATTGAAATGGCAAAAGTCTACTGAATCCCACAAAGGCTGAAGTCCAATACAGTAAATTGCCTTCATTCTGATGTTAAGTATCTTCTCAATTTAAGACCGTTTTGTGGAAGATTTTTTCGAAACGATTTCATGTCTGTGTTTTATACTCTTTTCATTCCCGTTTGGCTGGTTTATGGATGTCAGTTCGATTTTGTGGTACAAAGTGTTTTTGCAAGTAGTTTGTATGGAATTTGGTAATATTTTTGCACGCGTTCTCTCGAAATGAAGTAGTTATGTGCTCATTTTAATGAGGCAATAACACTTTCAGAATGTCATTTCAAGACTAGGTAAAGATTTGTTGGGCGGAGATGGGTCAATTGATGATTTGATCTAATTGGTAGCAATGGGTTGCAGTAATTAAATGTTCACTTTATAAAACATGGCAGAAACTTGAGTCGTGCGCATTACAAAGGTAGATTGCTCTTTAGAAGTCACGGGTTTAGCAGATAATTGAATATTCATTGGAGCTGGCGAATCGCTAATACGATGATGCCTTCTGGACTGTGAACCAACTTTCCTTGATGCCTTGGATAGATTCATGCATACAAAGCGCATGCCTTTTTTTCTAGCCCATTCATGACATGGGTGTTGCGGTTGCCGGTAAACAAGCACAGGGCTCTGGGTTTAAACATTCGAGCCCTTCGTTTAAGGTGCGTCACCAAATGTCCAGCATTAGAGCAGGGACTAAACACGAATGAGTCACTACCGCCACATACTAGGAAAGGACCTCGTATGGAGATTTTACTGTCTTGGCCAAAGGCCAAGTACACGTCCAAATGCGCCTGTAGTGCCGTACGAGGATGTAGACCTACTGGATGACGCCGAGGTCAGCTACTTTGCTGTCTTTGTACTCTTCAAAGGTCTGTGTTGAAGATAAGCAGCCAATCAGGTACAAGGGGAGATGCAAAGCACTATATAATGGGCGGCGCAGCCAATATTGCGGACACTCATGGACGCCGCCTGACGGGTGGTTCTGTCTTTTGGTTGGTCAATAAGGCCTGCTCTGCTGAACATGCATTCTTTATACGAGGGTTCGAATAATCTGCACATATGCTTGTATATGTGGCGGATGGCCTTGAGTGCAATTAAGAAATGAGGCAGCCGATTTGATGCCAAAAATCGTGTGCATAGTCACAAGATGGTAGGAGAAAGTAGAATAGTCTCATTTGCTTGAAAAATATAGCTTCGGGATTCTAAATCGCAAGAAATAATATCGAGGAATTAACTCCTACGAGTCCTCTTAGTTGAAACACCTAATGCTAGTGGAGACTGAGACACTAATCAAAACATTTTACCTCCTAGTTGGATTCATAGTGCTGTGTGGAGGAAGCTGTGTGTTTCACGTCGCTCAACTGCATCATTTTGAGATGTCGTAAGTGCGGGTAAATGGGTTTGCGAGCTTGCTTTTCAATATGCACGTATCGATAACGGTGTCATCCCCTTCTATGAGTGAAAAGTCATCTAGTTTCAAGATTTTGGCTAATTCCTTCCATCCTTATCATTTGGGATCACACAAGCACAGTCATGTGCTAAAGTTGATTACATGACAACCTATTTTGATGTTCTTTTGCACTTTAGACGCATAACCTAAAAGTGCTTGACTTGAGATTTCGTTGACAATGCGTTTTATCACATACATTCAAAAAGGACGCGAAACAAAGCTTAAGCTTTACAAGCAGGAGGAGTTAAGAGACAGAGGAGCGCGAATAATCTAACTGGACAATGCACAAAGTTATCATTTGGAGTGAATTTGGCTTCAGCCCTCATTTGTCGAGTGAGCATTAGAGGAATTTCAGTGTATCGATACCAGACATCCAAGTTCAAAGCTCTTCCTTCACCAGAGATTCAAACACTACCAAGGGGGAGCTGGTCAGCATCACCCTTGGTTAGCGTGATGGAATTTGGCTTAAAAGTGGGCTTTAATTGGCGAACTCACCAAACCCTGCTCGGAATGGATGTACAAAAGCCACCGATATTTATGCCTTCAAGACGAACAGGAGGCATTTCCCGGTCTCTGAAATTGTGCTTAATGAAGTGTTGTTCTGTTTTAGCAAAGAAGCCTGGTTGCCGAACGTAAGGAAAGATCGATTACATTTCGATGATTTCCGGGTCCTTAGATTAATAACAATGCAGACTAACTGGGGTTCCCGGATTGGGATTTAAAATCGAATGTTTCTGTAAATTTTTCAGTGAATCTGGCTGAGGTTAATCCTGTCAAGGAGGATCCCATGAAGCAAACTGAGTCTGAAATCACTTATTATGGTGCCTTTAATTAAACCGAGAGATTTACTGGCAGTGCGGAGGCTGTTAGAATTAAGTACCCTCAGTTGGTATCAGTCAAAACGCATGGAGTGGACTGGGTTACCTTAAATGGTCTTATGCCAGCCTCACTGCTGGACGCGAAATTCTGAAAATGCTGTAGTGGTAATCCGCGACGTTACTTTAGCACATTCTTTCTAGTTTTATGCCTATTCTGAAGCCACTGTTGACAATATGAATTTAGCACTGGTCATGCAGAAGCACGCTAGTATCGACGACGGTGGTAATTGTTTCAATATGAGCACTGTCCTGAAGTCCTCCATCCTATATGTGGTTACCCAAAGATATGTGTTCAGTGGACATGATCCCTCCTTCAAGGCTTTTAAAGATCATTTAAATTTTGCGTCTAGTATTGACAGCAATGATGTGGAGTTTTTACGGTCGATCGGACACAGTCATGAAAACGCTGTCTGTGAGGACGCACATCCTACGCCTTCT